TATCAACCAATCAGAATCGAGCATTAATTACAAGGAAACTTTTATATTTTCTGATATCAACCAATCAGAATCGAGCTTCAATAGTCATTATTTTTTCTAAAAATTCAATATCCACCAATCAGAATTGAGCTTCAAAAGTCATGTAATTTTCTGCAAATTCAATGTCAACCTATCAGAATTGAGCTTTAAAATTCATAAAGATTTCAAGAAATTTAATGTCAACCAATCAGAATGAGCTCTTCTTCTCATGAATTTTTAACAACTTCTTTAAAATTTGTAGATTTTGAGGATACTTTCACAGACATTATTTGTGTTAATAACCAATCATAATGAAGTAATCACAGATTTTTATAAACTTTGTAGATCAGAACCAGACTATGTTTATGAAACTTCTTAATCAATAAATATTATCAAATTTATCCAACATAACCAAGATTTGACGTTTGATACCCTAGTGGGATAAATGAGATTTCTTGTCTAGTTTATATTGTTTTTTTTCGATATTCAATTCAAATTTTAAAATTTTGATCAAAATTTTTTCGATTTTTGCTATTTCTAACCAGTGAAAAAAGAAATTACCAAAATATACGTTTTTATCGTTTTCTTTTTGGTATATTGTAGTATAAACAACCGGAAGTCTATTAAATTTGGATAAACGATCAAAAAATATTCTGACGAATCTGGATTTTGTATTTGTATCAAATTCAAAACAGTAATCGAATTGATGTTCCTTATCTCCAATTTTTGTTTCATAGGCTCTTCCATTGTTTTGTTTTTTACTGATCGACCACTCAATCTGAGTTAACTCTTCTAAATAAAAACATTGTTGATAAATCTGGCAGTACTCTTCTTTTTTGTAATCTTCTCTCCATCTTTTTAACAAAACTAATGAATTTTCTGTGTTTCTATACAAGTTAAATCTAATACAATCTCCATCAACTTCATCTGTCGACCACTCTTGTAGTTTTTTATAGTACTTCAAATTGAAAATCTGATAAATGTTCAATTCAGACATTGAAAACGCTTTTGATGGAAACATTTTTCTTACTGAAATATATGAAGAAACTTAAAAAACTCGAATTGTTTTTATCATTTTTAAAGTATTTTGTAGTAAAAATCACCGTAAATAATTTTTAGTTATTTAGAGTCTAATTAGTTTCAAAGAAATTCATGTAGCCAATAAAAAAGTGACGTCACGCCCTACGCAATTTTCCTTTTATGGTAATGACGTCATTCTATATTTAGAAGTGACGTATCACCAATGCAAATTTTTTTTTGGTAATGACGTCATTCTATGAATAGAAGTGACGTGAACACCCACGCATTTTTCCTTTTATGATAATGACGTCATTCCTTTGAAAGTTCTAGATATTTCCAGAAAAGTTTTCAACCAATCACAACTAAGCAGTTTCATCACTAATGGTGAAGAAGAGTGTGGCTCACTGAAGTTCCAGGTTTTTGTGGCTGAGCATGGAGCACTGAATTGCCCGCAAACTGGAATGGAGGTGACTAATGATCAATTTCATTCAGGATATTTTGTAGAAAATCCCAGGCAAAGCAAGAATTCACTGTGCCTAATACTCCTCAACAGAATGGTTTATTAGAGAGCTAGAACACAGTGATCACCGAGATGACCCGATGTCTGCTAGCTAAAGCAAAGCTACCGAAGATGTTCTGGTTGCAAGCAATGTCAACAGTTGTGAGAAATTGCAACTTGTGACTCACATCCACCAATGAGAAACGCTTTTCATCGACGGAGATGCAATTTGGAAAACTAGCTATTTACGTGTTTTCGGTTGCCTGGATTGAGGCAACAGGGGCAAAATTGGATCCGAAGGGTAAGAAAAGCACGTTCATCGGCTACGATGATGAGAGCAAATTCTACTTGCTGATGGATCTAGAGAAAAGACGACGTACCCAAGCATGAAATGTGACTTTTAATGAGGACGCCATTCCAGATGACTTGATGGTTGATAGTGAGCCCTTGCAAGCCCTGGAACTATCAATTCAGTAATGCATTGATAATGAGCAACCAAGCACCAACGAAGCACCAGGCACACCAATTGAAGGTGATACTGCTGATTCAGTGTGGGCTACTGAAAAATATCAGTTCGAGGAGGAAGCAATAGTTTCACATTCTACTGAACATCCCGTGCAGAGGTCAATTAGGACGAAGAACTCACCCATTTGATACAGACTGGCTTATAACCATGGCTCAGTGACTGGATTCCAAGCGCCCTGGGTCTGATCAGAAGCAATGCCTGAACCCGAAAAGGAGGAGTGGCTGGAAGCCATGACTTTAGAGCTAATTTCTTTAGAAGTAATGGGCACTTTGACACTGGTCGATAGACCACGATTTCACAAGGTTATTTTTGGACAATGGGTCCTTGCTGTTAAGCAAGATGCAATGGGTCAGGTGGAGCGGTTCAAAGCCCGATATGTAGTGAAAAGGTTCATGCAAGTGGAAGGAGTTGGCTTCATTGAGACGTTTGCTGCGACCTGTTAACCCGAAACAAAGAGGATACTACTGGCTTTGGGGGCACAAAAAGATCTTGTACTTCATCAAAATCAAATGGATGTGAAGTCAGCCTTCCGAAAATTTCCTCTAACAAAAACAGTGCGCACGGAGCAGCTGGAGAGGTTCAGCGTCGGTGGCAACCAGGTGTGTCTGCTACAACGAAGTTGATATGGGCTGCGACAGGCAGAAAGAGACTGGTACCAGAGGCTGAGCTTTTTCCTACTGGAGGAAAAGTTTTATAGAAGCAGCAACGACTTGTTTCTTACAATGAGGGGGAAAAACGATACAATGATGCATGTGCTGTTTTGGGTAGACGGCATCATTATTGCGTGCAGACTCTAAAACGAAGTTGACGAGATGAGGGTTCGTTTCTCTGAACAATACAAGATTGATGACACAGGCTCATTGTCCTGGCTACTGGGAATTCAGGTCAAACAGTCATCTGGGTTCGTAACTGTTATTCAATTACGCTACATTAGTGACTGCTTGGAGCGCTTTGTCCCTGATAACTGCGAACCAAAGGGTACACCAGCGGACATCAGCGCAGAACTGTCGAAAAAGCACTGCCCTGAAGCAGGGTCAGCAGAGGCAGTGTTCATGAAGATTGAGGTATGAGGCATTGTGTGATCATTTTTGTCCTAGAGAAACCGACAAGGGTGCTTTGGGTTGGTGCAAAGAGAATTCCTCGTTACCTGAGAGGAACCAGAGATCAGGAGCTGTGCTAAACCAAGGACGCTTATGGTATATAATTCTTTGAATCCACAGATGCTGGGTGTTTTGGAGATGTGGATGATAGAAAGTTAACGACTTGATACAGTTTTCACTTGCAGAGTTCAGGGGCAGCAATCAGTTGGAACACCAGGAAGCAACCAAAGTCAGCCATTTCTACCACTGAATACCACGCAATGGCAGCAGCGGTTCAAGAGACTCTATTCCTGGAATCACTTCTTGATGATATGGACGTGGTGATTGACGGACCAACAGTCATCAAGGAGACAACCAGAGCAAGAATCAAGATGTGCAAGAACCCGGGTTGACGTCCATAGAAGAAAAATGCTTATCATACAATTTCATATATGAAGTCTCTAGAAAAAATGTTTATCATACAATTTTCATGTATGAAAATTATAAAATAATCATTTCGTTATAGAAGAAATAAAATTTCCAAAAATCTCCAAAAAATATGATAGAGGGCATATTGACAATCAAACAAATAATTTAATTTTGGTCACAAAAATGCTTGTCATAAAGTTTTCAAATATGAAAATTGTATAATATGCAATTTTTTCATAAGCAAAATAAAAAATTTGAGGTAAAAAAATTTTAATTCCTTTTTTGGCTGCTAATTTGCATTTTTGCCAAAATAATAATTTCACGAAAAAAAAAAATTGCATGCCAAATTTGCTGTTTTTGTGTTTATAACGTAGTCCAGGATGAGTTTCTCACCCAAAAAAACCCAAAAACTACATGAAAAAGTTTTTTTTTTGTAAACACGATTATTATCTTTTGTTTCATTTGCTAAGATAAAAATAAATTTGTAGAAAAACAGGCCTTTTTTCTCAACCAATATAATTCTCAAGTTAAAAATTATCTAGCCATATTCAAAAAGTTACTTTTTTGGTATATATTTCCATGTGAAAATGTTAAAATGAACTTTTATGGCTAAAACCACCAAATGCAGTGTATCTGCGTGGAAACTACCAGTTACACTCTGGGTTTTCTCATGACAAAAAATCCTTGGTTAGTGTTTGGGTTGAGACACGAAATTTCAAAACACAAATTTTTTGAACTTTCAAGTTTGGAAAAAATGCTCATCATACAATTTCAAAGTATGGAAAAAATTCTTATTACACAATTTCATATATCTGGAGCGGAGAGCGTTTGAAACGGAACGATAACTCAAAGCAGCGTGCGCCAAATCTCGTTCAGAAAATGTCAAATAACTATCTACTTCTAGAGGTATTTTCTCAGGTGTTTGCTTATTTATTGCTTTATTAAATTAGTCCAAGGCATAATTCAGCTGTTGTAAGCCTGCTCTCTCGCTTAATGCAAATGAGCACTTTATTTGTTTTAAGCCACTCGTTTATTAATTTTTTTTGTGGTTGAAAGACTTAACAAAGATAGTTTAAACTTTTTGTAATAAAGTCTTTTGACTCGCCACAAAAGTCCATAAACGTGTGGTTTAATAACAGCAAATAAAGCACTCTATGGAGTTGTACTAAGTTAATAAAGCAACAAGCAAACACTCGAACTTTGAAAAACGTGACGATTTTCATTTGTTTTCTACAACGCACGCTAAATTGATTACATCTGATGTACAAAAAAAACCACAGTATATGAAGCTTTGTTCTGCACTAAAAGAATCATGGCGAATCGATTCAGCATGTTCTCTAGAACACAAATGAAAATCGTCACGGTTGTTCAAAACTTGATCAGTTTTTTCACATTTTTAATAAACTACTGTTGTTATGAGAATGTTGTGTCATATATATACATATTTTAGCACATGCAGTTTGAAAAAGTGATCTGAATTTAGTTGTCTTATATATTTACAGCGTCTATTTATCTTATATTTTTACGTGTATCTATCTACTGAAACCAGAAAATCGACCTGAACCCACAGGTTAGGAATAACTGTTTGCGTGTTTTCTTATTATAGTTGGATTTGTTTTAAAACGTGGAGTACCGGGAACTCACTTGAGAATCATGAGATGCTGATTCTAAGCAAGACCTCCGTACTCCGTTTTTATCAAGCAAGTACACTTTTATCCAAAACTCAGGTACTCGTTTAGAAGTATGGTCCCGTTAAAAACCTCGTTTAGAAGTATGGTCCCATTAAACACCTCGTATAGAAGTATGGTCCCGTTAAAAACCTCGTTTAGAAGTATGGTCCCGTTAAAAACCTCGTTTAGAAGTATGGTCCCGTAAAAACTTCGTTTAGAACTATGGTCCCGTTAAAAACCTCGTTTAGAGGTATGGTCCCTTTGAAAACCTCGTTTAGAAGTATGGTCCCGTTAAAAACCTCGTTTAGAAATATGGTCCCGTTAAAAACCGCGTTTAGAAGTATGGTCCCGTAAAAACCGCGTTTAGAAGTATGGTCCCGTTAAACACCTCGTTTAGAAGTATGGTCCCGTTAAAAACCTCGTTTAGAAGTATGTTCCCTTTAAAAACCTCGTTTAGAAGTATGGTCCCGTTAAAAACCTCGTTTAGAAGTATGGTCCCGTTAAAAACCTCGTTTAGAAGTATGGACCTGTTAAAAACCTCGTTTAGAAGTCTGGTCCCGTTAAAAACCTCGTTTAGAAGTATGGTCCCGTTAAAAACCTCGTTTAGAAGTATGGTCCCGTTAAAAACCTCGTTTAGAAGTATGGTCCCGTTAAAAACCTCGTTTAGAACTATGGTCCTGTTAAACACCTCGTTTAGAAGTATGGTCCCGTTAAAAACCGCGTTTAGAAGTATGGTCCCGTTAAAAAACTCGCTTAGAAGTATGGTCCCGTTAAAAACCTCGTTTAGAAGTATGGTCCCGTTAAAAACCTCGTTTAGAAGTATGTTCCCTTTAAAAACCTCGTTTAGAAGTATGGTCCCGTTAAAAACCTCGTTTAGAAGTATGGTCCCGTTAAAAACCTCGTTTAGAAGTATGGACCTGTTAAAAACCTCGTTTAGAAGTCTGGTCCCGTTAAAAACCTCGTTTAGAAGTATGGTCTCGTTAGAAACCTAGTTTAGAAGTATGGTCCCGTTGAAAACCTCGTTTAGAACTATGGTCCCGTTAAACACCTCGTTTAGAAGTATGGTCCCGTTAAAAACCTCCTTTAGAACTATGGTCCCGTTAAACACCTCGTTTAGTAGTATGGTCGCGTTAAAAACCTCGTTTAGAAGTATGGTCCCGTTAAAAACCGCGTTTAGAAGTATGGTCCCGTAAAAACCGCGTTTAGAAGTATGGTCCCGTTAAACACCTCGTTTAGAAGTATGTTCCCTTTAAAAACCTCGTTTAGAAGTATGGTCCCGTTAAACACCTCGTTTAGAAGTATGGTCCCGTTAAAAACCTCGTTTAGAACTATGGTCCCGTTAAACACCTCGTTTAGAAGTATGGTCCCGTTAAAAACCTCGTTTAGAAGTATGGTCCCGTTAAAAACCTCGTTTAGAAGTATGGTCCCGTTAAAAACCTCGTTTAGAAGTATGGTCCCGTTAAAAACCTCGTTTAGAAGTATGGTCCCGTTAAAAACCTCGTTCAGAAAAATGGTCCCGTTAAAAACCTCGTTTAGAAATATGGTCCCGTTAAAAACCTCGTTTAGAAGTATGGTCCCGTTAAAAACCTCGTTTAGAAGTATGGTCCCGTTAAAAACCTCGTTTAGAAGTATGGTCCCGTTAAACACCTCGTTTAGAAGTATGGTCCCGTAAATCTACCACTGGTCCCATATAAATGTCAGACAAAAAAAAAAGATTTTACAGGTAGTTTCTAAGTTTTGGCAGTGAATTAATACTTTTGATAATTCCATTTTAAAGAAAACGTCAGTGGCAAATCTAACGAAGAATTGATAACAAGTTTTCTTTTATTTTCATCCACTTGAAGTACTTTTAGTATATTTCAAGTGGTCTGGCGGGACCACACTTCTCAACGAGCTTTTAAACGAGACTCATCAAAAACGGCGGGACCATACTTCTAAACGAGAACCAAAACTCCATATTGCGTAAGGTTTAGTAGATATTGCAGCACTTCCAATTCGCCAGCGGGACAATAATCACCTTTTGTTTAAATCAGGCGTGAGAGGGATGACATGACAACTGTCAAGATGGGTGAAAGCAGTTCTGTTAAAATGGTTCTGGAGATTGACATTGATTTGAGTGAATATGGCGAAGCAAATGTCAAGTCAACAGACAAACTAGGTGAATCAATCTTGTCTTGTGCCTCCCAACATTTTTTTAATTCTAATTATTTAAATAATATATTAAATAAAATGTGAAACTGGCTTATCTGGACTTCATTTAGGTCAGGATCGATAGGAAAAAAGGATTTTGTGTATTGCTGACACAGTACCGGCGCTTACATCTGTAGTTTTAGTTGCTTTCAAGTAAAACATATAACAAAGGATCACAACGTCACCTTCATTGCAACATTTTTGTTTAGAACTGGTCAGGCAGTTGGACAAACACAATGGCGAAATTGGAAACAGTTCAATTTTTGACAACATTTTCCCAAAAGTACTTCCAGTCTTTACAAATGACATCCACTACCGAAACAGTTTCTTCCATCCGACACTCAGAAGATTCTGTTCGAGTTCATATGGACAGAAAACCCAGCCACAAGGAAACTCCGCAGCCCCAGAAGAACGATGGGCCATATTCCCGAATTGGGATTTCCGCTCTATCTTGAAACTCTTCGAACCAGCAGGTTAGTGCGTGGTGCATCAAGTAACTGCTGAATAAATTGCTCACGTGCGTTTTAAATACCAACTTTACTGGCCGCCAGTGAGTTGTAATGCTTTCTAAATGTTTCATGGTGAATAAATTCAACTTATTGTTATGCTTCGAACACAAAAAAAACTTAATGGACAATTTCACGCAACATTAGATAGAACAAAGTTGAAAACACTCGAACCACTTGAATAAATAAGTCTTCAACATTTTAAAACATTGATGTAAATTACTTAGCAAGCGTTATCAAACTGGAATATAGACTTTTTTTAGTTAACAACTTGTTTAACAGAATCACTTGAATCACTTATGTCTTGGTTCATAGCGAAAAAGGCGCTAAGGTTTTGGACAATGTCTAATTTTTGAAATTAGCTTACCTAATAATTTTTACCAAATACTTACCTCCAGCTTTAGCTGAGACCTATTTCTCCTTCATCGAGAGATACGAAAATTTTGGTTCACCTACTTTTTCAGCATGTTTCATCTTTTTTTGACTCATTTTTGCTTCTTTTATGATTCAATTGTATCACAAATGGTGCAATGCTCCACTTCGCTTCTGTGTATAAATTGCAGCTACTTAATATTATTCACCCAATAATCTGCAGCTTGTCTTTTGTACACAGCATTCACATCCCGTATCCAAGTCTAAGCGTAAGTAATTAATTATAACGGATTATTATATTCTTATGGTGCTTAGGTGTTTAAAGGATTTTTAATCGATTATAAATGTGATATTTTCCTAGAGATTATAATCTTTTACAATCGATTATAGTTGATTATAATGGATTAAAGCTCATACAAAAAATTCCTCAAATCAATTATAATCGATTATTTATTGAGAATTATCTCTTATTTTGCCAAAATTTTGTCACACCCAAAGTATATTTTAATTTTTTATTTTCCTGATGATAAAAAGTCTCTAAAGGCGAGATGCTTTGTCACACTTTAGTTTATCTGAGCAGTAGGAGTTACCAGAAAACAAAAGTTTCATAGAGGCCCGTTAATATTAGTTCTCGCGGTAGGTTCAAAATAATTATAATAATTTGTAAAGCTAAGTCCAATCAATTCTGATATTATTCATAACGGACGTAACAAATTATCATAAGAACTAATGTAGTTTGAAAAGTAGTATTTTGAAGTGTATTGAGTTTTCACGTTTTTGTAGGGTGTTCAATATTGAATACTGTCACAAAATCCTTGGCCTCCATTGACTAAAGCGTTCATGGGGTTCCATTCTCAAAACAGTCGTTCCAGTCGTTATTATGTAACAGTCCTTATTATGTAGGAATTTTTTTTGCTTCTTCGGTACCCGGACAATGGAAGAGAATATGCAGTATTGCTAGGAATATGTGCAGAATATCAGCCGGTGGAAATCATTTTTTTTCAAAAGGTAAAAACATGGATTTCTAACAAAGGTTTGAAAAAAGGTAACAACAAAGGCTTACAACGTTTTCTTGCAATATTCTGTAAAGTTGGCAATTTAGAATAGTAGATGTTATCTTGAAAATTAATTTTTTTAATTAACGTTTCCGGGGAACTTTGAGTTGATTAGAGTTTCGTATATTCGCCTTAAACATTGCACATTAACACATTAACTTACATGGCTAATGTCACCAAATTCAGTTTATCTGCGTGGTAACTGCCAGCTAGACTCTGGTTTTCTTATGGCAGAAAATCTATGGTTAGTGTGTTTCGGATTTGTGTAGAACAAAATTTAGTGTTTTTTCTTTCATGGAAAAAATGTCTATCCTACAATTTCAATGTATGAAAAAAAATTCAAACAGGGGCTGATTAAAAGGGGGGTGGTGGGTCGGAGCGGATGCCTCTTCTTGAGAGATTTTACCCCCTCGAAAACCAAAGGGTCCCGACCAACCCTAAAGATTTTCTAGAGGCACTTTAGGCGTTAATGTATACTAATTTTGAAAGGGAGCGCGCGCCAAGAAAACGCAATTTTTAGGTCAAATTTTCCAAAAAAAAGCCCAAAAACGGCATTTTTGACCTGTTTTTTTAGATTGTCTGCGGAAACTGGGAGGGCTCAGAAAATTGGTTTGACCAACCTAATAAAAGGTCAACCAATTTTTCAAAGAAAAGTTTGAAAATCCGCCATCCCCTCGAGAAAATCCTGGATTCGCCTCTGATTTCATAGAATGTTTGATAAAAAATATAACAACGAGCTTGTTATTAAATTCTAGAATGTGGCAAAAATTGCTTATTATAAATTTTCGTAAGTATGAAAAAAATGCTTATTTTGCTATTTTCATGCAATTGCTTTTGGTCTATGAAATTGTATGAAATATTATGATTAGCACCTTTTTAATGTATGAATATTGTATGATAAGCATTTTCTGTCAACCCGGGTGGTACTATAATCATAATATAATCGATTATTACGCTTAAAACTGGGTGCGGGATCATACGTCATCTGCGCCAATTGCGCAGTTTCTGAAACAGCATGATTGACTATACTACGTGTAAAAGTATAATTGAGTGAAAGTGTATTTCCAGATATTACCGAAAGATTTCCATCAGGCATTTTTCGATCCAGTTATCAGCTTCTGGTTGACGTTCAGAGTAGTCAAGCGTTTCTGATATTAATAGTCACACAGTCAGACAAGGCAATTAATTTTTCACCCTTCATCGAACTTCACAGACTACTCGGGCAAGTGGCACCGTTCAACATGATTACTCCAGTAGTATTATTGCCAAAGGGAGTAAATCAAGAAAGCATTCAAACCCTGCCTTGCAACCTTCGAATAGTATCTGAGAATGATGGTATATCTAGTTTGGTACCAAGGCCACACCACGAGGCACATGGTGATGATGGATTCAAGTATCTCGTCGCCTTGCTTGTTTTCTTGGCACCAAGATTCAACAGTTTAACCTTGTGCACGAAAGAGTTAAAGCCTCCTAATCCAGCAGATTGCGACAGATCATTCAAGCTAAATGTAAGATCAGCTGTTCGCAGTGTACAAATTTAACGCATATTTGAAGTATCTGTATTTTGAAGTGATGTGTAAGTTTCTTCTCTTCAGGACGTTGAACAAGTTTCACATCTCGCTGACTATTATTTCCAAAATCTAAACGGACCAGTTCAGTCAGTTCCAAGAATCGACGAAATCCCAGGTATTCAACAAACCAATCTGCATAGAAAGAACTTGATTGCATAGACCAGTTGACTGCAAATCGTTGTGTTTTATAGGAGGTGTATTGTACGGCCACTGTGATAAAGAAGGAAACCCTTGTATCCCAGATGGTGATACTTATAAAGAGTCGGCTTATAAAGGTTTGAATCTTCACATTTGAACTTGTTATGTGTGACACACTTTTCTGTTTGGACAATTTTCTTTTCTACATGTTATAGACATTTAACCACATCACCACTTCACAATCACTTTTTAGTTATCAGAAAACTAGACTGTCCCAAGCCCAGCATTCTTTGCGATCTTTGACAAATCTAGAAGATTTTTTGAAAAATCTTCAAGAAAAACCTTTGAAAACTAGGTAAGATTGTGTCAAGAGTCTTGAAGATCGGTATTGATTTTTCAGAAAACTCCAAGAATCTTGAAGACAAAAAACAAAGATATCAAAGAATCTTGAAAAGTTTACAAAGGTTTTTTTGAAATCCAGGGTTGCGAGTGCTTTAAAAACAAATTCTAAGAGATGTAAAAATTGTTTGAATTGATAGTTATGAGCTATAAAATGAAGCATTGCGACCATGAGCTAACATAATCATCAGTGGAAAACTCAATTTTTGACTCGAATTTTTAAAAAAACTTGTTGATATTTTTTTGATGATTTTCAGTTCCAAAGCAAATTCAGGCAAAAAAAATGAAGCAATAGCAAATCAATTGACTCTACTGTCATATACATTGAAGTGAAGCATTGCGTCAAATAATTAACAAAAAAATCATCAGTACAATATCTAGTTTTTGCTAAAAACAAAACCACCAGTATTTAGCACAGAGGAGAAGCAGAGCCTCGGGCCACTTGCGATACAACTTAAAAATAGCAGAGCACGCTAGGAGAAAAGAAAGAGAGCCGCTAAGTCCATAAAAATAAAGAAAAAACACTGCAGAAAATCAACTTTTAAAATTCAAAATTTTGCCTGGAATCTTGTTCTATTTGCAGAAAACGCGTCCAGAAACACGGCAATTAATTGAAACCCAAAAAAATTAACAAGCGGCAACTGAGCCGACGAAATTTGAATACTTTTCCGTAAAAAAAAGAAAACATAATTGTCGTCATGAAAAACTTTTAACTATAAATTTGACTAGAATCTAAAGAATTTTAGTATATTGCGCAATCTGGGATAAAGCTTAACACTCATGCTTGTTTTGAAATGAACCCTAAATAGGTCACTAAACCGACAAAAAATCAGCTGAAATCATTAAAGCCGAATAAAGCTTTCAAGCAAAAAAAGTCCCGTACCCGATTGCAATTACCTTGCGTATTGCAAGGGTTACAACAAACAGACCAGCATTTAATGAACCAAGGAGATTCACCTAAAATTATCCATAGATCGACTAAAATAATTGAAGCAAAAATGCCAAAACTGTCTTTAAAAGTGTCTCTTTCAAAAACGTCGTTTTTTCAAAATTTTTATCAAGATTTTCCATTAAAAAATGAGCACTTTGAAAAACAAATACAAAGAAGCTTAGCCGCTTCGCTTGTGGAAACAGTGGTAAATTATTGTGACAAAAGTTTACTTTCTTCTGCATATTTCAAAGATAATATTTTACATATGAAACTCATAACTGGTTAGAAAGTCTATGTCAATTCGGCAGCCAAAAACAAAAGCCAAAACAATTCAGGCTGAACAAAATTGAAACCAAAAACAAAAGCTGAACACTAATCAGGCCGAATAAAGTTGTAAACCGAAAACAAAAAACAAAAAAATTCAAGGAAAATAAAAAACGTCAGGGCTTTTATTTTTTTAATTACCGGATTAAAATGAAAAAGCTTGCATCTACGATGCACTTTGCTGTCAGCCCATAATTCCCAATTTTGCAATAGAACAGACAAAAAATTAGCAGTCAAACAATAGACCACCGATTCCATTTCCCCCGGAAAAAAGTATTTCATTTTGTTATATGCTGCAATAAATTATATTTCAATTTCGCATATATGGAAAAAAGTGTTGTTCCTGATTACAAGACACTTGCTCACTAGTTGTTAGAGAAACATGCCCCGACAAAAAAATGCAAAATCAGCACCAGGCTAAAAGTTAAAAACGATAACACAGTCGAAAAACCTTAGCAGAAACTCATGCATACCTAATACAATTTTAAAAAATTCTAAATAAAATTTCAAAAATTTAAGTCCTCCTTCCCCTCAGAACACAAAACCTACACTAAAGCTTTTTTTTTTCATGAAAAGACACAATAAGAAGCTACTAAGCCCCTATAAGCAAAGCCAATAAACACTTCAAAAAAATTCCGATCAGTGTCATAAATAAAACTTCTAAACGATTTCTTATTTCAAGTTACATTTTTTGTGTGCGCGGTGTGATGAAAAAAAAAATTAAACGAAAGTGTGGTTTGCTGATATTAATGTAAAACAAGAAACATCAGGCGATAGCTATCTTCAAAAAATGACTCGAAAAATTGTTTTTTTTTTCCTAAAAATTGTTCTATTTTTCTTCTCTTTTAGTTTTTTGAAGTTTTTTATTCGCAAGATGCCGCTTAAACAAATATAGCCAACAGACATTTGAAAAAGAGTCATTAAACGCAAGTAAACAGAAAAGCAAGACTTGTTTTTTGAAAAATTTCAACATTCGAGTTTCTACGAAAAAGTTAGATCGCTTTGCAGCCCTTTGAATTTCTAGAAAAGAATATGGCTTACGATTTTTTGAAAACTCAATTTGAGAAAACTGGTTCAATAAGAAAGATTCATTTTTCGTTGAAAAGTTTGAAAAAATTGGCCTTTCGAAACTAGAAGTCACTCCTGTTTTTGTTACATTTGCAATTTTGCTTTTCGATAGTTGAAATTGTTTTCCTTTTAACAAAGGTATTGAATTGAGAATAAAAATTCAAACCACGAAATACATAAATTGAACTTTTTTTGACAAAGAAAAAAAAAGTCACCAAGACTTGAGCAAGAGTACTCACTCAGTTCATTACTTTTAATAAAAAATTACAATTAAGCCTCGAATGATTAAAACTTTTATTGTAACGAATTCCAAACTGTAGCCTGGAGATTGGGAGTTTAACGACCTCGAAGCTGTCCCACGAGCCATTGAAATTTATATAAAATCAGCCACAAAAAGAGCAGCCTAAAGAAATTGCGCATTAGTTTCCTTTTAATTTGGATTTTTCAAAAAATAGCAGGACCCATCTTTTATACTTTTCCTGGAATTCAACAGTCATACTTGTACCAAAAAAACAGCGCGACCTATGTAAGAGTCTGAACTACGTTCTAAGTCTAAAAAAAATTCTTTCTATCGAGCGTTACTCGATCGCTTTACTCGATCGAAACTAGGGACAAAATTTTGATTGCTTTCTAATGGCTTTCGAAACACGACCGGAAGAGCTTCAATAGAACATAACACTCAACCCATTCCGATGATTATTTGAGGTGCCTAAGTTTGCGTGGGAAAAAAGAAAAAATCTTGAACACACCCGAATACAGAACTCATCATTATCAATCGTCGGAGCAATAAACTAGTTCCAAAGCGCAATCAACGCAATAATCATAATCGGTGAAATTGAAAATAAATCACAAGTCAAACCGCGAAAAAGCAAATTTGAGCTTGCATATCCAAAAAACAAAACAAAAAACGAATCATCACGACCTAAATAAGAGTCGGAACTACGTTCATTGACTCTCAAATTCAAAAAATGTAATTTTGCTCCAAAAATTGAGTGAAGAAACTGCAAATCAAAATTAATCAGCGAAAATTATCAGATAAAATTGAGTCTACAAGTATTTATAGCACAGAGGCTAAACGGAGTTCACATCACTTGCGATTTGAGGAAACCGTAAAATTGCACGCCAGCGAACAGAAAATGAAACCAAAACAATAAAATAGAGATAAAAGTGAACCAATTTTTCGGAATAAATGCAACAACACAATTACCAAAAACTGTAGAAAAACACAAATATCAGCATAAATTAAGCGTTTAGTATTTAGCGAGCGGCCAATAAGCCAAAGATACGGGGGCAGACGCCAATTGAGCCCAAAACCAAAAAAAAATCAATAAAAATTATTGGCATGAAAATTATCAGCGACTGAGTTTCAAAACTTTCTGCGTTGTTCTCTATTTGATTAAGTACCCAACCTTCTGATAACCTTATTATCAGAATTTTTTTTTACAGACATGAAGCTGAGCTAGATCTAAAACACTAGATGTATCCAAACAAACGAGGCTAAATTTTAAACCAAAACATGCCAAGATTATAGAGAGTAAAGTAGGCCTTGATAGAAAACTAATTGAGCTGCAACAAAGCCGAAAATAAGTTTAGGCTGAAAAAAATTTAACAAGACTTTTAAAAGTTTATTAGATCCCCCTCACCCTCAACCACACACATACACAAATTTAGTTTTAGGCATCAAATGAAAGAGTCCACTATGCCGATATAACTTAGGCAACAACTTTTTGCTCCGGAAAAAAATTAATATATGAAAAAGCAGAAAAAAAATCCAAATTTAGGACAAAGAAAAAATTTTTAAGTCGCTCTCACCATCAAAACACTCACGCACATCAAACAAGTTTTCGCTCGTCGAACGATGTAACGCATTCTGAGGCCACTAAAGGTTGTATTATAGGCCGAAACATATCAAATTCAAAATATAGGAAAGAGAAAAAAACTTTAAAAAAAAAGATATTTTAACAAATCGAGTTGGTGAAATTACAACCAACATAGAAAGAAAGTTTTGAAGGACAGATATTTATAACGCTAAGATGCACAGTGATTATCTGTCGCGGTAAACTTTTTGTTAACAGAGGCTCTGAGTCCAGATTCTCGTGAACGAAGTTAATTATGGGAAAAAAACTAGTATCCGATTGCAAAACCCTTGCTTAACGCAAGGGTTAAACAAACAGACCAGCTTTTTCATGAACCAAAAATTTATAGCTAATTTTATCCATAAATCGATTTAAATAAAGGAAGCAGAATTGCAAAAAAATCGTTTAAAAATGTCGTATTTACAAAAAATCTCTGGCGAGTTTCATTGAAAAATTAAACTACGAAAAATATAGACAAAGAAAAATTAAACTATGAAAAACAAATACAATGAAACTTGGCCACTTCGCTTGTAAAAAGATAGAAAAAAAATAAATTTCT